TGACTCTCCTTAGGCACACTCTACGTCATCGATCACTTTCCTCTTTGGCCCCATAATCTTCTTGATCAGAAAATTTGGGACACTACCGAGGTAAGAATGGCTATTTTTAAAAGGACAAAAAAAAAAAAAAAAATCACAAATCTGGAGAAAAGACTACTCTTATAAAGGTGGGAATGTAAATAAATCTGGAGAAAAGACTACTCTTATAAAGGTGGAAATGTAAATTAATAAGACCATCAGAGCATAGTACAGAGGCTCCACAGAAAGCTAAAAACAGAACTATCATATATAGCCCAGCAACTACAATGCCAGGTATAGTCAAAGCAAAGGAAATTAGTCTGCTGGAGACCTATCTGTATTTGCAAATTTTCTATAACACTATTCATAATATGCAAGATATGGAAGCAATCTAAGTCCTCCTCCGTAGATGAATAGGCAAAGAAAATGCAGTATGTGTACTTAACAGCATATTTTCAGCATAAAAATAAAGTAAAATTCTCTGGTTTGTGAAAACATGGATGAACTTGGAAAAAATAATGTTAAGTACACAAGCCAGGTATAGAGAAACAAAATATCACATGAACACACTCATATGTATAACCTAAAAAGGTTGCCTTCATAACAGAGAGAACAGTGGCTACTAGATGATAGGGGGAAAGAATACGTAGGGGAAAGAAACAAACAGATCAGTGTGCAAAGTTACAGTGAGGCCAAAAGACAAGTTCTGGTGTTTAATTGCATAGTAAGGTGACTAAACTAAACAGTATTGTACAGTATATTTCAAAACATTTACAAGAAAGAATATGAATGTTCCCACCATAACAAATGATGTTTGAGGTGATGCATATGCTAAATAACCTGATCTGATCTCTACACAATGAATGCATGTATCAAAATACCACACATACTCCACAAATATGTATAATTATATCAATTAAACTTTAAAAAGCATTATCTTGCTTTATTTATCTATAAAATTAAGTGAAAATAAGGTATAAGAATCATTATAAAGAACCTAAGAACTTACATTTGTAAACATTCATAAAACAGTGAAACCTCTAAAACATTCACAGAAAATGTTTGTGTTGTGTGTATATAATTAGAAATAAAACACACCTTTAGGGCAAAGTAAAATATTTGGAAATGTATGGAAAAATATGGCAACCAATTTGTTAACTTGGAAAAAAAAAATCTAGAGAAATTTAAAAGAAAATATTTTTTAAAAATCCAAATATAAAGAGAAAGTCTGATTAATTTCCATAGAAGAGTTTGAAAGGATTTAAAAGCTACCACTTTTTTAAGTGAACAGAGCCTGATGGTTTCCAAAGTTACATTGGATTCTTAAGGAGCAATTAACTTCAATATTATTTAAACCATTCTAGTCCATAGGAAAAAATTAAATTATTTCCAATCTAATTTGGAACATTAACATTACTTTAATACCCTAATCTGATAATGAAAATACACAAAAAACATACACTGTATTATAATTAAATGCCATTAAATAAAAAATAGTCCTAAACAAAATGTCTCAGAATGTTTTCATACTCTACTCAGTAGATCTCATTCCCAAAACACAGAATGATGAGGTATTAGGAAACAGATCACAACTAATAACAATAGAACGCAAATGAAAATCCCTATCTGGGTTGGGGAGGTAGCATGGCAGTGTAAGCGCCTGACTCTCAAGCGCAAGGACCCAGGTTCAATCCCCAGAAATGCAGGCACACTGTGCTAGCTGCCAAAACTAGGCACGGTGGCGCATGCCTGTAATCCACAGCACTGGAGGGGCTGAGACAGGATGATCATTACAAGTCCAAATTGCATAGCAAGACCCTGTACCAAATAAACAAATAAAAGATTTAAAAAGAAAATACATATTATAATAATGAAAAACAAAATATTTTAAAAATCATTTAGTCATTCCTGATGAGAAAAACATAATTTAGCAATTAAATAAAAATATTTCAGTGTGATAATAGTCCTTAACAAAGCAACATTAATGCATGTAGAAATAATTTAAATAATCCTGAGAGTTCTATGGTGTGTGGGTGTGTGGGTGTGTGTGGGGGTGTGGGTGTGTGGGTGTGGGTGTGGGTGTGTGTTAATGTATTTGGTACATGGTCTTGCTATGCAGCTTGGACACATAGTGATCCTCCTGTTTTCAGCCTCCCCAGCGCTGGGATTACAGGCATGCACCACCATGTCCAGGTGATGGTTTTTTGAGATAGGGTCTCACTATGTAGTTCAAGTTGGCCTTAAACTCACAGCCCAAGATGGAGTCCAATTCACAGTAATCCACCTGCCTCAGTTTCCCAATTGCTGGGATTACAGGTGGGTACCACCATACACAGCTTTTGTATCTAAAAACCTCAATATAGTAAAATGTTTAACTTATAATGAAGTATGGCAGTAACAGCTGGCAAAGGATGAAAAATTTAAAATTGTCTTGACAATTTAAATGACAACTTTAAAATTTAAAATTATATATATAATAGATAGTATATCAATCACTATTAATCAGCTATTCTTGTTTTGAAAGTCTGTAACACATGTATTGCTATAAGTTACCCTGTTTCTTTGTTTTTGATTTTTGTTCTTGCTTTTGTTTTTACTCTTCAAAATAAAATCACATCCCTTTAAATAAAATAATGGGGAATGGGAAGAAAAATAATTAAAATGTATTATATGCATTTACTAACTCCCCACAATGAATGCAATTGTTATGCATTGACAATGTGCACTCTTAAAAATTGTAAAGATGTTTAAAATAAAAGGCACATGGGGCCGGGGAGATGGCTCAGTAGAATAAGCGCTTCCCTGGCAAGCTCAAAGGCCTGAGTTCAATCCCCTAGTTCCACCAAAATAAATAAATAAATAAATAAATAAATAAATAAAATAAAATAAAAGGCACATATAGAAAAAAATAAAAAATAAAATCACAATAAAAAATAAAAATATAGAACAATACATATACTACATCAAACACAAATATATACACATACAGATATCACTAAATTCATATATAAAAATACATGCATATCCTTTCACAGAAAACATAATATACATAATTATATATTCGTAGTGATTATCAAAATAGTAGTTTACCTGTTTGGGAAATCGGAACAAGGAATTTTTATAGAAAATGTCCTTAGCCTGGCTCCATGTACCATCAATTATGATGATTGTGGATGGATAGACAGGAGAATCTAATATAAATTCTTCCAAATTAGTCGCTTCAGCCCCTGGATAGAATATTAAAGTACCAGACTTCCGGCAGACAGTTGAAAGTTCAGTATCTCTAAAAAAAAGTTTTTGTAAATATATCTTTATTAGATTGTGAAGAAAATAAAAGTTCTATTATGTTTATTGGATTCCTAATAAAAGATCCCCCATCTAATTATCTAAGATATTGTTAAGAAAATATGAATTAAAAGTTTCAAAATTTTGTGTACTATAGTGATTCATTAGCTGTAAATCCTCCACTCTCTAAGCTTCCCAAATTTCACTACTGTGCTCTACCACAGCTTTTCTCTCCAACTACCAGTGGCATAATCGTAACACTCCCAGAGAAAGATCTATGTAAGAGAGAACTATTTTATTTTTTAATTAATTTTATTGAGAAAGAAATAACAATGAGATAGTTTCAAAACAGGTTAGGACAGTTACAATAATTAATACATTACATATTGTTATCTTCGTAGTAGTCATTCATAGTACAAGATGCAGACATATTGTGTCTAAACACTGTTAGTACAAATCTTTCTTCTCATTAAACTAAGAGAAAGTAGCTGTATATCTATCCTATTTTGTATATACAGATATATATATA